AATTAAATACACCAGAAGGTTAAAATTTTATCCTAATATAGTTTTCATTAATTTACATCTATGGACAAAAAATATTTTGAAATAATTAATTATTAAAAATTTTATTTAAGAAATAAAATTTTGATGAAATTTAGATTTTTACATGACACAATTTTAATTTTTATTAAAATATATAATCATTTATATGTAAATTAAATTTTATTTACAAGTTTAAAAACTCTTCTATAATAATTTGGGTAAGTTTTATGAGTATTTATCATATCTAGATATTATTTCAATCATGATTTGTCAATTTAGAGCTAGCGGGGTTTGCTAAATCATACGCGTCAATTATGGCAGTTAATAATGAAAAAAATTTCAAAATCTTGAAAAATTTCATAGTTGTTTATAATTGGTATTTAGTATTTATGCTAAGAAATCTTAATCTCTTCTTGGAATTCATATTTTTTTATGTCCAAAATGTTTATTAATTAACCAAAATTAAGTTTCAATTTTTATATATAATTAGCTATAATTTATAAGATTTATGATATTTTGAACAATAAAATTATTCTATACGTATCATTATTAATAAATAAAAATGCATTTTAATTTATTATGGCCTAAAAAACTAATTATTTAGGAAGCCCCTTGAAGTTGTTTGCATTGCATCACCCCGCTATTGGGGCTTGTTGAACAAAATTTTCTATAAAAAATAAAATTAAAAAAAATTTTATAAGCACCTTTATAGAGTATAGTTTTAGGTATCTAACTATATTTTTATATTATCTATAAAAAACCAGGAGCTATAGTCAATTTTGTAAAAATCGATTCGACTAACTTTATGAATACATTTATATATCATATTCTACAATAAACATAATACTACTAATAGTTATTACGAGTATTGTTGAAACTTTTTGTCATTTTAAAATAATAAAAAAATGTTACTTATTACAATAACTAAAATATAGTTTATTTAATAAATGTTAAAAATATAATTCTAGATTAATTTGATTCTGAAATAATATTTATTTTGGGGCCTCTATAAGCCCCATCTTGCTTCCTTGTCTCTCCTACTATATTTTTCACCTGGGTTATAAAAAAGTAAATAAAAATCGGAACTGTTTTTTAATTGAATGAAAGAAAAACGAATTTCGTTTACAACATTTTTCATTTTAGAATATTTTTTAAAAATGAATGAATTTTATTGTAAATTAATTTTATGTTTAGGTTGGGTACCGCCGGGAATTATTATTTAAATTTCGAAATGGGTCGGAGCAGAAAAAAGCTTTCCCGCGGTTCGGGTGGAGAAAATTCATTTTTTGCAGGTCTCTATATTTTATATGCTAGTTTTTCCTTTTGCATATAAATAGGTTCCCGTTTATTCTTACTAGTTAAACATTTTGGAAATTCAAGTGACTTCAGTTACTCGTGAACAATTATTAAAGAAAAGAAATAGATTATATGATATAAACTATTATTCATGTGTGCTGACTCTTGGTTAATGACATATAATACCTAGACTGACGATGCATTCATAATAATGTATTTGAAAGCTTCGTTGAATGCAAATCAGCTGGACTCGCCATTTTGTAACCAATATAGAAATTAATCTCATGTTAAATACTATTAAATTGATAACTTGCTTCCTTATTATCTCGATGATCAGGCAATTCTTTAATAAAGTTAGCGTCAGGCATAGGAATAAATTGGCCTCTTGTTTAAAATTTTTAATAATGATATGAGTAACCAAAATGGCATCCCGAGCTGCTTTTCATTGTTGTACACTTTTAATGAATGCATCGTCAGTCTATTTATTATTGTATGTCATTGTCTTGCTTGACTCATTGGCTCAAAAAATGGAATATTTATTGGAGAATATTTTAATCAAATCTTATTGAATATATAATTATTCTAGAATAAAAAAATACATTCCAATTCTCTTACTCTTATAAGAGTAGAACACCCATAATCAGGCCCGTAAACCAATGAGGGGAAAATCCCCCCCCCCCGCCAGTCAAAATTTTGCAAATATTTGAATATCAATTTTACAACATATAATTTTTTAAAAATAGATTTTATTAAAGTTTTCTTTAATTGTGAGTATATTAACATTATTCAAAAATATTAATAAAATGGGATTTTTAATTAATGAGATAGAAATAAAATGGTAATTTATTTTATCATTATGATTATTTCTAGTTATTATGATTATCTTATCAAATTCAAAATTATTAGTGAGTTAGGAATTAATGAGTATTTTTTATTTTACTTCCATTTTGTAGAACAGAAGAAATAGAAATACAAAAGTTAAATAAGGCTGAGCATGTAAAAAATGAACAAATACAGATTGAATAAAAAATGGTAAAGTTAGGTAGCATATATTTTATGAAAATCAGGTTAGGCATTAGTTATAAATTTTTTATTAAATTAAAAGTATTTTATTTATAATTGAATATCGGCTAAATGGGTTAGGTCTCTTAAATATCCACAGACATTTGGTTCCAATGACAAACGAAATTCTTGATGAATTAACAAATTTCCCACGATAAAAAAATCTTTTGTATAATATTGTATTTGATAAAATGTTATAAAAACTTGTTTTTTAATTATTTTCTAGTCTATATTTTATACACACTACAATTAGTATTTTCAATAAAAAAAATTTATTCTACTTATATTGTATGAAAATTTCAGCTGAGGCAGTTTTTAAAGCAAATTTTATATAAAAAAAATGACACAAACTTTATTTCAATTTTTCATTTTAAAATTAATCTATTAAATTTTATATGCCTAACTTAAAATAATAAAAAATTGGTTATAATCTTTATTTCTTTTTTAAATATATTTTTAATTAAATATTTTTTATATTAAAAAAAGTATAAGCTTTACAAAATAATAATTTTATGTTTTTATACTGATTCTGCGGCATCAATAAAAGATTAAGGGAATGACAGAAACAAGAAATTTAAAATAAAGACGAGAAGTAATATATTATATTTACTGTTAAACCCATTTATTTATGCTCATTCTGGCCTCATTACTAGATCCTACCTCAACAATCATTTACCTAATTTTAATTGTTTCATGTTAATTGAAAATATCCATTAAAAATCTCTTCAACACTCAAATTGTCATCTTCCTAATTTAATATAATTGCTCTATATGGCTGACATCGAATACAATTCAATATTAATGAATAATATTTATTTAATTTGATACACATTGGTAGGATATAATATACTATTCGAAATAAAAAAACATTAGATTTAAAAAAAATCGTTGAGATCCATTTATATTATTAAATTTTCAATCTTGAATTCATTTATTGTAATTGATATTCTATTTATTGGATTTTCTATGGATGTCATTTTACATTTTACAGGACAAATTAAAAATATGATAAAAAATTTTTTTTTCTTCATTTTATATAAATAAAAATATGATTGAATAAATTTTGTTTAAATTGCAGATGCCTTGAAATAAAATGAAATAATCTTTCCCAGATCAAATAGAACTCGATTTTATCAAAAATATTGATTAACAAAATATTTTAGTTCACATACTCATTAAAAATTAAAATTAAAAGAAAAATGGGATAAAGATCTTTTACTTTGAAAAGTTAACTTTGATTAAATGAATAATCAAAAAAATTTAGAATTATAATTAAGTATAAAGAATAACTAAATTATACCCGCTTTTAAAGCTTATAAAAATAATCATAACTATTAGCTATAGTCATAAAAAACCCCTATGCCTAATAGCCATAGTCAATTTAAATAGCTACGACTATAACCATAATTAATTTCAAATTATTGTTAAAGCAAGGCTAATTTCTTGTAAGTTCCAATCCAAGATTTTCAACGGGAATTGTGTTGAGATTCGTGCCCCGAGCCTTGTTAAGCGAAGCCAAAGATGAATGATCTTTAAATTGTAGTAGAGGTAATCAATGGTACCTGAAAAAATTTATATGGCTCTTTGAATTTTTTAAAAAAAACTATTGAATAGAATTTTTTAAAACTGACTGGCTATTTAGAAGTAGTAATTTAAAGTGTTTATGGTTATTCGTCATAGTCAATTTTTATGACTACAGATATTTGGTTATATCTATTTTGTTGGCTAATAGTAGACTAATCTTAGACGTTTCCCCAGTAATGATATAAACTAAAGCATAAACGTATCCCGGATTTTCCTATAGGGAGGAAAGCACTGTTAGGTAGGTTTTTTCGGCTAATCTATTGAGGGATTTTGGTCTACTAATTGTAGACCTATATAATTTTGGGGTTTTACTTTTTTTATATAAAAATGCTTTTTTTCTAAAAATTTGAATTATAGTTGTTATTTTAAAAAATTATTAACTTTTAATTATTTTCTTTCAAGTGATATATTTATACATGGAGGAGGGGGGGGGTGGTAACGAGATTGTAAGGATAAAATTTATATTAGCTTTAAATAATATTTACGAGAACACGCAAATTTCCATTTCCCATCCCTTGCGTACTTTTCTCAACCGAAACTATATTTTGAGTTAAAATAATCAAATGAGTAGGGGTTAATAGCGTATAATTCGCCATTCTTTATTGGACAGGAATAAATTAAGATTGAGGCTAGAAACAAAATCTAAAAAAGCCCACATTTAGTAGAAATTGATTTTTATGTTGGAAAAATTAAATAATTGATGTTTTATAAAGTTAATAAACGGGGATGATATAAAACTTTTTAAAAATATTCAAATAAAAGAACTCTACTTAATCATCCTTAGCCAAAAGTCACATTTAAAAAAGATTAACTCCTTAATATCTATCTTATTATCACTTATATCTTTGTGTAAGCAAGTATCCCAGTATAAATTATTTTTAAGAGTAGCATAATTTTTGTTAAATTCGATTATAAAAAAAATATATGACTATCCTATTAATCTATCATTAAGCTAATAATAATCAAAAACATCAAAAAAGATTATAATATATTCAGTTATATCTATTTTAAAAATTTATAATTTTTTGGTTAATAAATCATCTTATTCTATAGTTGAATCCCAAATAAATTAAAAATATACCATGATAAAAAATTAATTTGTTTAATAAGCTCCAAATATATTTCTTTTTAAAAAATAATAATTTTGGTATTTATTTGCGTTTCAGTTATTATTCCTTTCAGCGAAAAATGGTAGAAATTTTCTTCACCTATAACTACATTTCTTCTTTAAAATAAATGATCATTTCTTATTCTGTTCGATATTGATCTCTTCTGTACTAGAATCAGATTGATCTATACGACAAACAGTCTGAACCGGCACAAAATAACCTTCGTATGAGCATTCGTCAGGAGTTATATCGTAATGATAATGACCGCCATATTTTATGTGTTCATAATCGAAAATTGAAGTTGGTTTAGGATCATCGGAGCTTAAAGAAGATGTTTTATTAAATCATTATTTATTTTTTTTAAATGACATTATCGCTACAAATACAATAATTAAAACGTTAAAATAGGGAAAGATAGAAACCAATATTGCAAATGATAAAATTCCTGGCCTAGGACAGGAAATTAAATTGCTAAAAGCGAGAAAACGTTATAAACAGGAATGGTTATATGCGCGGTTTGATAGTATGTGAATTAAATGAAGGAATTTAAATTTTAATGTTATCGATGTTTATATCTTACAAAAGAGAAGAAGCTATAAATTGAAATTCATTCTTCATTAAAAATCAATTATGTATTACCTTTTTTTAATGTCATACTCGGCAGGTGAGACGGCAAAAGGATCTAACGTTGTTTGGAAGCAATGAGCATGTTTTGTTCTCAAACCAAAATCCTATAAATTAATTAAGTTTTAGGATAAAAATTTAAGTTTTTTCCTCTTACAAAGATTTAAAGTCAATAAACAAATTAAGACCGTTATTGCAAAATCAAAGATTGATATAGGGATTTAAATATTACCTTGTAATCGATATTTACTAGGACTCCAAGGCAAGTGAGTGGTGCTGGTACGTGATAATATTTCAACCAACTCTTAACTTTTTCATCTGTGTCTAATGGGTCTGGACAAAAGTCAGGCTAAAAAATATAAATACAAAACTTGGTCTTTAAAGGATATATATTGGGAGGAGGGGGAAGACTATGTAGAATAATTATAATAGGAGTTATTTTGATAATTAGAATTAATTAAATTCTATTATTTTATATATTTTAACTGTAAAAAATGATTAGTGCAATATGATATAATCTATTAAAAACGTTCGTACCATAATGTGAATTCTGGCTGTTCCAGTCTTCAAAACAAATGCCCCTCCCAGGCCAATAAATTTGTCTTTAAAATCATCCTTTAAACATCCTCTGATCGCTTCCAAGAAATCAGTTTCCTTTCCCATTTTACTCTTAGAGACGGCTATCCTTATGGCCTATTATTAAAAAAAATGCATAATTTTTTTGGAAATGGATGAATATATTTTGAAAACTTAATGTATGAACCGATTAAGAGTTAAATATCATAAAACGATTATTAATGAAAATATAGGCTTCGAAAACAGCGACAATTTATAGCTTGTGAATTTCTAATTATAAGTGCAAGATATGATATAGATAATTTCTTTATGTTAATTATAAAATGTCAATAGGAAACGTATCGATGAAGAACCAGTGTCTTTAATGTAATCGACCCCAAACTATTAAAAATCAGGTGCGGATCTAATTCCGATTCCAAGAATCGTGCATCCCTAATAATTTATTGTTAAATTTTTAAATATGGAAAAGATTAAAATTAAATTGCACCTGTTTTAAGCAGAATGAATGTTAGGTCGACAAAAAAAAATTTGAAGGAACCAGGGTTTTATTACTTCAACAAATTAAATTTTTAATTTATATATTGAAAAGTTCCAAAATTTTTATAACTAAGAAATAAAATAAAATAAATTAATTTACCAAATTAACAAATTGCAAAAGGTTCAACTCGAGGTCACATCTGGAAAGTATTTATTATTATACATTTTTTCATAAAAAGAAAAAGAGGTAAGTAAAAAGAAAGTTAGGTTAATTAATATTACTAAATTTCATATAAAATAAATAATGATATTAATTATAAAATATTAATGAATATAAATAACGTATCCTTTTAGTACATTGCCTTAATGGTAGATTGTAAATTATAAAATTTATGGAAAATCGAAACGAAAACGCGAAAAAACTAACAATTGTGTGTTTGCAAATTTCTTGCCATGTCCACAGCTGGCGTATAATTGTTAGAATATTGAGGATTAGAGACTTGGTCAGCGTTAATAGAAACTATTTTATATAATTTAAAAAAAACTTAAAGTTAAAGATAGATTTTAATTATATTTTAGTTAATTTTAAAGGAAAAGGAACCATAGATAATATCTCGTGTTAATCATGTAAAAAAGTGAATGACTTATAAAAAAACAACCATCAGGATGTTAATTTTATAAGTCAGGTTCTTAAAGTATTAATTTAAAAATAAATTTGAAAAGACCTATTTATTTTATAATAATTTATATTTCAAATCATTTGTGTAAATTAACATATTTTATAATTGTCTCGAACTAAGCGAAATCATCACTATTTTGCATTTCGCAATAAGATGTAAATTTAAGGTTGATAAATATCGCATGTGTCCATTTTTTAAAAATTGCTAAAACGATTAAAAAATTTTAATCCCTTTTTTTTTAATATATCACGAGTTCAGAATTGAGGTGCACTCTCTGACATTTTAAAAAAATTATGAGGTTCGATTTTTTCCCCAAAAATTTTATAGGTCGGTCACGTATTATTGTATAATCATTAATTTGAGAAATTTGCTATGAACCTTTGAACGTAATATAATTTATATTCATTTTTCCGTAGATACTTTATATAAATTAAAAATGACTCAAAGGTTAACGGAAATTTGTCTGCAATTTATAAAAGAGGTATTCTAAACATGTCGGAATATATTTTGGTAAAATAAAATTTATAAATTAAAAAAAACGAGTTCAAAAAATGATTTAAAAGTTGAAAAAATAATACATTGCCGCTAACATATACATTATTTGGGGAGAGGGGTGTGGAGTTTGTAGAGGAGAATTTTTTTTATTAGATTAAAATATAAATTACGAAAAAATATGATTCCCCTTTGTAAATTTGCCAGTAAAGATAATTTTAAGCTAATTAAAAATTTTCGTAACTTCTTTCTCTCCCCAAAAAATGAATAAAATATGTCCATTACATGATATCTTTTTTTTAAATAATAAAAGTTCATAATTTTGTAAAATGACTAAAATAGAAATTTTGAGAAAAAAAGTGTAAACCGATAATGATTTCTTCTAGTGTATTCCGGCTAAATCCTTTCAAAACAGGGGTCAAAATGGCAGAAAAAAATACCCTCAAAAGTTCCTCACCATTATGAAAACCCTGGATAAGCATATGATTGCGCCTATTTAAAAATGAATCGAATATTAGATTTGATTCGAATAATTTGAATCTAATTGAATACGAATAGTAAATTAATTGTTTTGTACGAATACGAATAAAGACTTATTCAAATAAAGCGAATAATTCGAATATTAAGAGAATTATTTTAATAACTCGTTTATTCGAAAAATAACTCTAAATAATGAATGCGCCGATCCACATATTTTTCTCCGATCCGATATTTATATTGATTTTATACCACCCCCTTTGAACCAAGTGTAATTAAAAAAGCCATATTTTCTATGTAAAGAATCGAATTATACATTTAATTTTATTTTAATATTTTTATTTCTACAATTAAGACTAATTTTTTGAAAAAAAAATATTATAAAGGATAAAAAATATATATATTTAATTATGTATCCATTTTATTTTGTATATATTTGTTGGAATGAATCAGAGACCTGCAGGCCCGGCCCTAAGCCCGGCCGTATTTTAAATTTTTAAAATATACCCGGGCCGGGCCAAAAAAATTTTTTTTTTAAAATAACCGGGCCGGGCCTGAATTTTTTTTTTTAAATACCAGGGCCAGGCCGGGCCGTTTTTTTTAAAAAATTTATACAACATGAATTATTATATTCGTCAATTAGATATTAATATAATGTTGGGTGAAAGTAAACACTAGCTAACACTCATGGTATCTATTAATAATATAATAATAGTTTTCCTGCCATGGAATAAATATGCAAATGATAATAGGTAAAAATACATTATTATATAATATATGTTATATTTTTTATTAATTAAAATATCAGTTTTATTTTTATTCTCAAAATATTATTTACACAAATTTTTTATAGTATCAATTTGTAATATACTAAATATTTGTTTAGAATAAAAAAAATAAACGGCTCGTTTTGAGCCGATTTTTAAATATGGCTAACACAGTATTTTATCCAGAAAAATATTACGCAAGCCTGAAAATTTTGTTCATAAAAGGAGCAAAGGTCTAGACATATAGTATCGAAATTTCGAGGCTTAGTCAATATTTTTCTGGCGAAAATATTGAGTTAGCCATTCTTAAAAATAGGCTCAAAACGAGCCCTTTAACAACATTAGCTAATATGCTTGCTTATTAAATGATAATACTCGCCGAAAAATATGATAAAATACCGAATAGGTGAATTTTTTGTATATACCAGGTCGAATATATTTTTTAAAAATATCCTTACCGGGCCTAAAATTTTAAGCCGTAAAAAATTTTTGAAAAAAAATCCGTGCAAATGATACTTCTGCAGGTCTCTGGTATGAATTATAAAATTGTGATAAAATTATAATATATTCGATTTTTTTAAAATAATGAGACTCTAGATTTTCTGGCAATAAACTTCTACTATGTGGATTTATCTATATACCCCGCCGTACTGAAAATAGACTCAGATGGGACACTTGTTGCAGGAGGCACCAAAATTTACATGCAAGTTTTGACAAAGTTAGATACTTTTCAGCATTAATTCTCCAATAGTCAAGTAAATCCACAGGGGATATAATATCAATATCATAAAATTAACATTTTTAAAATAGTGTTTCCAACAAACCCAACCTTTTGTTAGGTTTGAAAAATAATCAGATACAAACAAATGAATCAATCATAATCAAGCAATACTAGATAAAATATGAAAAATATGTTATTATACCGTCTAGATATAGATTCTTTGATTTCTTTCAAGTATGGCAGGTCATCTACATTACTATCAATTTCAATTATTTTATTTGTTACTAGTTTCTTTTTTGATTTTCAATTTAAATAAATAAAATTTAGAGGGTGCTGTGCATTTCCATTGTATTAAAAATAAATAAAAAATTATTTAAAATTTTTCAATTTTATAAAAATAAAAAGTAATCTTTTGAACTCATAATGATGTAAAATAAACTATATATAATGTTAGCATCAATGTGCTTTTTCCGGAAATGTGTTATTTTTTCAACTTTAAATCATTTATTGAGTAGTTTTAAAAATTCAAAATCTGATTTTACCGGAAATGTATGCTGTCATGTTTGGATACCTACCATATGGATTTAAGATAATTTATCCATGAGCATTTAAACTTAATATAATTTATATTAAATTTTCCATATATTCTTTATATAAATTATATATGAGTCAAAGGTTAACAGCTAAATTGTCTACAATTCATAAGATAGGTATTCCAAACATGATGGAATATTTCCGGTAAAATCATTTTAAATATAAAAAAAGCGTTCAAAAAAAAATTTAAAGTTGTAAAAATAACACACTGCCGGGAAAAACACATTGACGCTAACATATATAATATAAAGTAAAAAGATCGGATAGGCTGTTTACATATCGGTTCCATCCGATATTTTTAATATTGGTACCGATTCGATATTTAATATCGGCACAGCCCTAAATAATTATTAATATATTTTTAATTTAATCATTTGTCATTTCTATTGATAACCAATCAATCTCAGGTAATCTGATTAACTAGGTACATTTCAAATACTAGTAAAAGGTTTTTCTTATCCTGAATTCACAGTTAGCGCGAATTCGCGGCGAAGTATATAAAAATACACAAAAATACAGGATATTTGTATACTTCGCCAAATTTTTTTGCCCGGCTTGATCAAAATTTTTTTTTGTCCTGAAAAACCCGACCAGAAATAAAAATTATTTGTTCGCCTGGCCCGAATTTATTTAAATATAGAAAATTAAATATTTTTTTTTAGAAAAAATATTCTACAAATAAAAAATATTAGAGCCTTGTTTCATGCAAGAATTTTAAAATATAAAAATGTAATATATTTAAAAATTTAAGCCCGACCCGGATAGGTCCGAAATTATTTTTTAAAAATAGACCCGATCCGGGCTAGATTGCAGATCTCTAATATGAATAGTAAATTATTCGATTCGTTTAAATGAATAGAATAATTCGTGTTCGTTTTTGAAAAGGCCTACCTATGAGTGACAATTTTCTTTACCCCGTGAGGGAAAAATTAAAATTGAACAACTTGCTGAACTGCAAATAAAATATTTTTTTGTATTTTTATTCAATTATAAACAAAAAATTGTTAATTAAAAGTATAAATGCTATAAATTATTATAAGGCTTTTATAAATTATTATTAAATAATGAACTATAAAGTAATTGTTTTATGAAACATAATCATTATTATCAGAGATATATAAGCTACGCCCAGAACTTGGCCTGATCGAAAAATATTTTTAAATCCGAGCCAGGTTTAAAAATAAAAAGCAAACCCAGGCCGGGTCGATTTCTTAAAAATCAATATAAATTAGTCAGTTAAAAAATAATATAATACAGTGTTTAATATTCATTTACTGCATAATACCAAATTATCCAGAATAATAAAATTATAAAAATCTGGACCCTTAAATGATCAAAATGAATCTAGGGAGGGCCAATAAAAAAAACCCCAAGCCAGGCCTCATTTTTTTTAAATCAACTGGGTATAAAATTTTGATCTCTGGAGGATTCTGATTAATATCAATGTTAAATTCATAGACTAATAATCTACATAAACTAAGGCAGATTTTATGATTACGTGTTTTATAAAATATTGACATGATATTGCAAGTCGTTTACGCATTTTATAAGCATATGAAAGGAATAAACGGCTAAATAGGAGTATATATTTGTTTAAATTTAAAAATTCAAGTTTATTATGGTGAATTCTTTTATAATGCTTGCCCCTCCTTCTTTTGCATTGTTCAAAGATGGTAATCTTATTTACCCCTAAACCTGCAAGCAAATTATTCGTATTCGAATTTTATTACTAAGAATAAGAAAGAAAATAATTATTCAACAAATAATAGATTTCGTAATTCAATTGAAT